GTGACCTTCTTAGGTCCAAATAATATTTATTAATTCAGTCTTTTTCTTTTTTCTTTCTTTCTTTCTCTCCTTTTTTCTTTCCCTGTTTTTCCTTTCCTGTCCTTTTTCTTCCTCCTCCTCCTTTTTTTCAATACTAGATATGCTTCATTTCTTTTAAGCTTCTTTTCCAGCCCCAAACTGATTTTCCTCTTTTCCATAGGCAGAATCTTTTGGCCTAGATGATTGTGTTGTATCCTATAAACATAAACCTAAAATTGTCACTTAAATCACATTTTAATTATAACAGTGAAGGTCTCTGTCAGTAAAAAAATGGAACATGGACTTTACAATCCTCCTCTTACATTACATTGATGATATCCTGAAAAGTCAAAGTGTTATGCTGAATCTCAGGGAAAAAAAAAAAGCCCAGATGAAATGTTTGAGATTCAGGTAACAATTAGAAGATCTAAAGGCATTTTTGAGGCATTATTCTTCCATTGACAATTACATGGTGTTTTACCTCCTCAAATGTAAGTGCAGCCAATTAATATCAATTTTATAGCAAAGGAATATCTCTGAAGCCAAACACAACATTAACTAAACCAGCCCTTTAAAGGAAATATTAGACTTTCATCTTTTAAAAAAGATTTTCTATTTACCTTGCATATGATTTAAATGAGAATTACCTAACTGAACTTTATAAAACTGATGTGCATCTAGCAATAATATTAGTTGTAATTCATTCTAAGAGACTTATATAATGACTGACATGAAAAGGTGGTTAACATTTTAAGATTATTTAATGTAGACGATTCTAAATTATCTGGGAAATAAAAACTCTCCATGTGTATTAACTCAGCTATTAAAATCTTTAAGTAAAGTAGTTAATCTGAAAACTTCCTTTAATTTTAGTTCCGTTATACATACAAAGTCTTACATAAAGTCTTTGCTTTAATCCAAAGAATAAAGATTTGATTGTAACTAGCTGTTAAACACCAGTATTGTACTTTCAAAAATTGTTCATGTTGGCCTACTATGTGCAAGACATTTTAGGCATTTGCTGGGTGCTATTGTGAAAAAAAAGTCATCTAGTAAGACTCACAGGTTTCATTAAATGGAATCTTGCAAAAATCCATTAACAGAATTTCAACTGAAAAATATAATTGAAGTAAATACACTTTAATGAAAATTTAAATATATTTAGATGCCATGTGCAGGTTTGCTTCTATAAAGACACATACTCATTGTAAGGTAAATAACAAAACTCATTTCAGAAATATGTCAGTATTTTAATCAAACTCCCATAAATGTATATGGCTTATGATGCTTTTCATATAAAAGGTGAAAACTCTTGGATACCAAATGAGTGAAACAAAATTTTACGCTCAGTTTATATAATTTTATTTAAAAGAGGATACATCTGAAAGTGTGCATAGATCTTAAGAAAAGCTTATTTTCCCCCCATCTTTCTAACTAATTTATTTAGAAGCAAGGTTCTAGTTTCCAGTTAGCTTTAGAAATGCATGAATTTGTTTAAAAATTAGTATCAGAGCTGATTCAGTATTTTTAAGCACTTGTGCAAGAATGAGATCTAAGGAAAGTGTATATAGTCTTACTGTTATAGAAATATACCTGTTTCTATTCTACACTTAATTATGGAAATATGCTTTAACAATGGGTCTGATAAAGCAAATTCAGTAGTACAAACAAGTCAAATGAAACTTGTTTCAAATGGAGAAAAAATATGTACAATGCTAACCTATGAATCAAATGTGGTTTTAAATACTTCTTCCCCTGTACCTACTTATGCGATTGATTATAAAAAAGCAAATTCAAAAATTTGGTGCCTCAGTTAAGGACTAAAGAAAATTATAAGAAGATATATTACCCATGAAGTGAAAATACATTTTCCCATTATAGTAGGGTTAGAGGTTACATCATAAAATACTTTCCTTCAGTTTTTGTGGTTTGCCTCAGATGATTAGTTTAGGGAAATAGATGAGCCAGTACTGTGTTAGGGGCTATTATGTGAAGAAGAATATGAGAGATAATAGGCTTTTTATTCTACAGGTATTAGGTAAACTTGGATATTTTGGGAATATACAATTAGATTTAAATGGTAACATTATTTTAAGATTGATATCATCCTTTTCTATGAAGTTATTCTATAAATCTCATGTTAATTTGTTATTTTTATGCCTCAATGTATTTAAAAAATTTACTTGAATAATTTTAATGATTGTTTTATTCATTCTGAGACATAAGAGTTGGCATATTCAACTAAATATTATGTTATGCTAATATATCTAAAAAAGGACAAATATACAAGTCTTACTGCTATATTCCTGATATCCAAGACAGTCCCCAACACAGTAAATGTTCAATAAATATTTACTGAATGAATAAATAATTCACCATATATTTGAACTCTTACACTGTCAGTTATTCTTTCTTTGCAGTTAATATTTTATAGAAATATAGTAAACGTTATGTTGTGGATATATAGCATAAAAAAGTTCAGTATCTGCTATGGGAGTTACAATTTATCTATTTACCCTACTGATTTTTTTTGCCATTATTTTCATAATAATACAGACTATGTTAAAAATGAGTTTTCAATCATTTGAATTATGCTTTGTTACCATTTGTACATTTATATGTCATTAACAAAATTTATATACAGGCCTGGTGTAATATAGTGCATTTCCCCTATTGTTTTTCAAAAAAATTTAAAATGCTCTTACAAATGACTTTTTTTTGGAGAGACAGCAAGTGTTTGCTTACATTTATTAGGTGTTACAGAAAAAGATAAGTTCATCCTTCTTTACATAGCAAATTAATTCCATAATCACAAGAATTAAGCTCAAATGCACAGAAAAGTACAATGAATGGATCTTTAAATAATTTAATGTCTTCTTGGGGACATTTCACATTGATTTAACTCAAAATAGTTCTACATGCAGAGTCTGAACAGGAATTGGATATTGAAATGGTATGCTTTCTATAAGGGTAAAGGTAAAATACAATGTATAGTTAAGATACACAAAACAGTATGCTTTTGTTTGAAGGCTATTTTAACTCTGTAAATTTCAAAGACATGAGGTTGATGGGGTACATTCTAGGCATGTGTGGAAATGCCACAATGAGTCCCCCCATAACAAATATGTTAATAAAAGGGATCTTAGAAATAAGTAAATCTATTCCTTAAGAAAATTTCAAAGACACTATTTTTTCAAAGACATTTTAAGAAGCTATTGTAGATCCAGAAATTTAATTATTGCCACATCCTCCTAAAAATTTCATTTTTTGTGTAATCCTGTGGTCACTCTTTCTAAATGTATTGGTTTGGTTATAGGCAAATTCTCGTTTTTCTGTCTTTTTTCTACAACTCCATCCCTCGTTTTTTTTTCTTTTTAGTGTACATTTTCTCATGAACTTTGGTAGATTTCCATTACCTCACTTAGCTTTTAAAACATTTGACTATATCTGCTAATGTACACTTGTAGTATATTATCTTTCTTAAATAGATTTCTAGCAATTAATTTGCAATAGAAAAAATAGCCCCGTTAGCCATTTTTTTTCCTTTATGAGAACATTGGGAATGCTTTTAAAGCTTAAACCATTCTATTATGTTCTGGTGACTGCCTAGAATTTGGATTCCTCCATCCCTTAGCATTATATAAGTGCATTTTCCAGATCATCACATTATATTGCTAATTCCTGATAAACCATTTAGTACCTTCAAGTTATTAACCAAAAGCCGTGAATTCGCCTTGTAACTATGCTTGTCATTAAAACAATCTCTCCATAATTCCCATTTCATGCTAAACTTTTATGATTAGACACTTTTTTTTTTTTTTTTTTTGCTTAAAATCAATATTGGGTTTAGGAAGATTTTACAGCTTAAAAACTGCTCAGCATCCAGCTAATTAATCTACTGAGGCCTAATCCATTCTTCCCCCCTCCCCCCATTTGTTTGTGAGGAAGGGAACTCCTATCTTTCTGCCACTTAGACCTTCCATTTCCAGGAGTAAATTTCGGAGAAAAAGCTAGATCAGAGTCATTCCCAACCATAACTGGACTCTACACCGTCTTAGGGTGTTAATAATCCTTTGGTGACAGACTAGGATAACTTGGGTTCCTTCCCCTTGGACCGTGGCACAGCTGCATTATAGTTCATATTGCAAATTCCTGATAGTCTGCTGTACTCATTCCCGCACTGCGAGGCAGGGCAGCCTTGGGGTTCCCTTTCCGGGTATAACCCTAACACAAGCTTTTGACCTCCGGCCTGCGGTGCACTTCTCATTCGTCACTGGGGCCAAGGCGGTGCGTAAATGGGCGGTCGATCTGGCAACACTTCCAATGGGGGAACTTTGGGAAGAAGCCAGGATGTGAATTTAATGGGTTGGAGAGGCTGCGGGCAGTAGTGTGAAGTTCGCGCGGCCAACTGCAGGAAGCCATGCTTCATTACACCCTTCATGGAAGCTGGCATCCTCTCCCAACCATTGTTACCCACGGATCAGTCCTGGAGGAAAAGGCCATCAGGTAGGTTCCCAGCGCAGGATGTGCCCGGGGTGCGTGTGTGTGTATGTGTATGCGTACGTGTGTGTAGAGGAGGGGGGAAGAGTGCACTAAAGCTTCACTGGGCGTGAGACCCCGCCTGGCCCTGGGAACCTGCCCTCCTTCCACCCTCTTTCCACAGCCTCTAGCTCCACGCGCACACGCAGGCCGCGCGCCCGGCGCCGCAGAGCGCGGCCCAATGTCCCGCCCCCCGCGTGCGCGCTCCCTGCGCTTTTCCCGTCCACGCCTCTCGGCCACCGCGCGCGCGCGCGCGCCGCGGGCTCCGCTCGCCCACATTCGGCTCCCCTCGGCGACGACGAGCGGGGCGGGGAGGGGCTGTCTAAGGAGCTAGGCCCAGGCAGGCGTCGGACGCGGTGGCGCGCACGCCGGTCTCGCCTTCCCGCTCCCACTCACCCCACCCCTGGCCTCCTCATTCACGTTGGTTGCAGGGCGGGCGGGCACGCGCACGCCGAGTGACGCTCGGAGGAGGAAGCGCAACCCCTTCCCCTCCCCGGCTACCCGAGGCTCAGCGGGAGCCCCCCCAGTGCGCCTGTGCGGAGGCCTACTTGATTATGTGTGCCCTCTCCGGGCGCCAGCGTTAGCGGCCGGGTGGAGGTGGGGTGGGAAGACGCCGAGGAGGAGGAGGAGGCGGAGGAGGCGGTGGAGGGGAGGTGGGGGGAGTCATCAAGGACATGGCTCCTGACTCCTGTGCGGAACGTGAGTGACTGAGCAGCAAAGCCCGAGTGAGCAAGCGGCCGGCGGGCGGGCGGGCGGGCGTCGGGCGGAGGCCGGGGCGCTGGGAGGGAGCGGGAGTTGGGGGGGGGGGGAGGAAGGACGCGTGTTGGTGTGCGTGGGGGGGGCACTCACTGGCTTGCATGTGTTTTTTAATGGTCCCCCAACTCCCTCTTAGATGGTCTCTAGCGACCGGCCCGTGTCACTGGAGGACGAGGTCTCCCATAGTATGAAGGAGATGATTGGAGGCTGTTGCGTTTGCTCAGACGAGAGAGGCTGGGCCGAGAACCCGCTGGTTTATTGCGACGGGCACGGCTGCAGCGTCGCGGTGCATCAAGGTAAAAACACCCCACCGCCCGCCGGGCCGACCCGGCCTGCTCCCTCCTGCCACCGCCACCCCCACCTGGGCCGCGATCGCCAGGCCGCCCCGCCCGTCCCGCCCCCGCCCGGCGTCGGGGGCCCCCGCGGGAGCCTCGCGGTGTCCGCCGCGGCCCGGGGGCTGCGGGCCGAGCATGTGCGAGGAAAGTGCGTGTGGCCTGGACTGTCATGTGATTCTGCGCTCTCACTCCCAAGTGTCATTTGGTGCCTACCCGGCGTCGGGGGGCGGCGGGGGGGTGGGATGGGGATCCGCAGACTTTCTGGGGCCGGCCGTGGTGTGCGGGGCTTGCAGAGGGCGCCCGGGTGGGGAAGCGTGGGCTCGGCGGCGTTGGGGTCACGGTGGCCGTGGGTGTGGGTTTGGGAGTCAGAGACTCCGCCCCCTGCCTGCCTGGTCCTGGCTGCCGCAGTGTCTGCAGACTTCCTGTTCCGTGGAGCCAGGCTCCCAAACGTGACTGGGCTGCGAGCAAGAAGTGGGGAGGGTTGCCCGGCTTGTTCAGAGATCAGGGAAGGGAAGGCAGTCTCTGCCGCTGCTGCACCCCAAGCTTTCTGGCACCGACCCAGCTGCTGCCGACGACCGGGAGCTTCCTATGGAGAAGGCTGGTGCAAAGCTACTGGTGCCCAACTGAGCCCTATTGGGGCTAAGCTGCCCTCAGACTGGTGGGACAAGCTGATTAGTGGTTGCATCAAGTCTCTCCTCAGCCTAACTCACTCAAGAAGAGGAGATGGTGGTGCCACCAGTGGGGATTGGGTTGCTTCCTAGTTATTTCTGGGCATTTTCATTCAGCGAATATTAAAGAGTGAAGGATGCCACATAAGAGATATTTTTTTCTGGTCCTTGATGTTTCTGGCTTTTCTGTTTCAGGTACTAAGGAAATCCAGGCTGAACTAATCTAGTTGTGTGTGTGTGTGTGTGTGTGTGTGTGTGTGTGTGTGTGTGTGTGCGCGTGCGCGTGTGCGCGCTCCGCGCGCTCCACCCCTTCCATTTCTCAAACTGGCATTAATGATAAAGGTGTTGTTTAGTTGTGTATTTGAAGGGACATTATTATCAAGGAGGGTGGAGGAAAATTCCTCCCTCCCTTCCTTCCTTCGGCTTACTCTTTCATTCACTCATTCATTCATTCTTTTTTTTTTTTTGTCTGTCGTGGGGCTTGAACTCTGGGCCTGGGCACTCACTGACCCTGAGCTCTTCAGCTCAAGGCGAGCACTTTACCCCTTGAGCCACCTGGCCACTTCCGATTTTCTGGTGATTAATTGGAGATGAAGAGTTTCCCGGACTTTCCTTCAGGCCAGGCTTTGAACTGTGACCCTCAGATCTCAGCCTCCTGAGTATTTAGGGATTACAGGCATGAGCCACCGGAGCCCAGTCCTCATTTTTTTTGGCAGTACTGGGATTAGCAGGGTTCTCACCTGCCAGGCTGCTAGCTGAGGTCTCAAATACATTCTTTAAAGAATGGAGAATGTTACAACTGGGAATGGCAGTGGTGATGATCTGCCATAATGAATTAACCTGAGAAAGCAGTTTTACTTTTTTCAGTTTCTTTTAAAGAAAGACACAGTTGTATACCTTTCTTAAGGAATAAAAACAATCTATATCAAAAACTAGATAGTATGATTTTAGGACTGGCATTTGCCATTTCTATTACAGTGTCATTGACATTTCTGGAGGTATTACTTATAAATTGGATAATTATTAAGTCTTAAGTATTTTCTGTTATGAGTACCTCAAGTAACAGTATGGATATACTGTTTCTTGTCTGATAAATAATTTTACTGTGACATATTTACACATGTTTAAAGGGATTAGGGTGCTCAACTTCAGTTGTTAAGAGTTGTAAAAATTTCTGATTCTAGCTGGGTGCCTGTGGCTCACGCCTGTAATCCTAGCTATTCAGAAGGCTGAGATCTGAGGATCGCAGTTTGAAGACAGCCTGGGCAGAAAAGCCTGTGAGATTCTGATGTGCATTTGATCACCAAAAAACTAGAAGTGGAGCTATGGCTCAGGGACAGCACCCAAGTCCTGAGTTCAAGCCTAGGACTGAATGTTCTCATTCTATACTTTATTGCTTCCCAATAGTTAGATAATTTTTTTAAGTTTCTGCTGAGTAAACTCGTGTGTGAATGTCAACTGAATGCGTTTTTTACATTTTCTGAAAAATTTCAGCTAATTATGTGTTAATACTAAAGGCAAACTTTTTTCCCTTTTACTCGGGGGATGAAATTCAGGGCTTTATACTTGCTAGGCGAGTATTGTATCTTGAGCTACCTATCCAGCCCTGGATTTAATAAAAATTTTATTTGGGGAGCAGAGAGGAGCCTCTTTTGCTTGGCTTCTTCAGCTTATGGCTAACACTACTATTTACGCTAGGCCTCCATTTCTTGCTTTTTTGTTTATTAATTGGAAATAAGAGTCTTAGGTTTGTCTGCTTAGTCTGGCTTCAAACCTCAGTCCACAGGTCTCAAGTCTTCTGAGGTACCTTCTTAAGGCTTGAGGTACCTGACCCAGCCAGCTTATGTTTCTTTGAGATAGGTTATTGCTATGAATCCTAGGCTGGCCTGGAACTCAGATCCTTCTGCCTCAGCTTCTGGAGTGTTGGGATTAACAGGCATGTTCCACCATACCCAGCCAACAAAACAACTTTCAGGCTAGGAATGTGGCTTAGTGGTAGAGTACTTGCCTAGTGTGCATGAGGCCCTCCATTCAATTCCTTGGTACTACATAAACAAAAAAATGAAACTAAAAAACAACAGAAAACAACTTTTAGTGAGCCTATGAATTTGATATATGTACTGAGAACATTCAGATTATAAAATACTTAGAAAGTTTTTCTTTCTTAAAAAACAATTAACTAGTCGGGCGCTGGTGGCTCACGCCTGTAATCCTAGCTACTCAGGAGGCTGAGATCTGGGGATCTCAGTTCAAAGCCAGCCCGGGCAGAAGGGACTGTGAGACTCCTATCTCCAATAAACCACCAGAAAACCGGAAGTGGCGCTGTAGCTCAAGTGGTAGAGCGCTCGCCTTGAGCTGAAGAGCTGAGGGACAGCACCCAGGCCCAGAGTTCAAGCCCCACAAACGACAAAAAACAAACAAACAAAAAAACAATTAACTTTTTTGAGATGTATTTTGAAATAATAGCTTTATTGAGATGTACTTTTTTTTTTAGTCTCTTCTTTCTTGGTACTGAGGATTGAACCCAGGACATTGGACTTGCTAGGCAAGTGCTTTTGCCACTGAGCTACATCCCAGCCTCATGAGATGTACAACTTTGAATGTATAATTCTGAATGTACACTTACAATCTACAATTTGTGGCTTTGCATATATTCATAGATTGCGCAATCATTACCAATGTTTTAGATCTTTTTCATCACCCTAATAACTGTCCTTGAACCCAACTCCAGCAAATCCTAGGGAGCCACTAATCTTTCTGTCTGGATTATCCTGTTCTGGACATTTTTATACAAATATCACTTTTTTCTCTTTTGTTGTAGGAATTAAACTCTTGGTCCTTGAGCATGCTAAATAAATGCTCTACCACAAAGTATTTCAATTTCAACATTATATTTCATTTTGTTTTCTATAATACCGATTGCTTATTGATTGATTGATTGATACTGGTCCTGGGGCTTGAACTTAGGACTTGGGAGCTGTCCCTGAGCTTTTATGCTCAAGATTAGTGATGTACTACTTGAGCTACAGCCCACTTGTAGTTGATTTAGATAGCTTGAGGAGTAGCTTACTAGAGTTTTGTAAAGATTGGTTGTCTGTAATTCTTCCAATTTTAACAATCTAAAATATTTTGTTTTCAACAGCTTGCTATGGCATTGTTCAAGTGCCCACAGGACCATGGTTTTGCAGGAAATGTGAATCTCAGGAGAGAGCAGCTAGAGTGGTAAGAACTATTTATCACTTACACTAAAATACTTAAGAGATTAGCTTAGGTACCACACTAAGGTTGCAGTTTCAATGAATGACAGTGTTTTTTGTCATTAGTATTATAATTTAAGAACATTTGAGCCAAATATTCACTTGGAGTTTAATAGATTATGTAAAATCTAAAAAATTCAATTAAGTAAGTATATGTTGATAGATACTTTGAAAATGTGAAGTCCTGGCCAGGACTTTATATCTATACAAGTAGTAATGTTCCATGTGTTCTGAAAGTTACATTGGCTAATGTAATTGATTATAACAGCAATAGAAACATAAGGAAATTACATTGTCATTTCTGCTAGCTTTTTTTTTTTGTGCCAGTCCTGGGCATTGAACTCAAGTCTTGGGCACTGTTTCTGGAGCTATTTTGCTCAAGGCTAGAGCTCTACTGCTTGAGCCACAGTTTTGTTTCTGGTGTTTTGGTTGCTAATTGGAAATAAGAGTCTCATGGACTTTTCCTACCTAATGTGACTTTGAACTATCTGCCTTAGATTGCTTCAGTCTCCTGAGCAGCTAGGATTATAGGTAAAAGCTTCTAGTGCCTGGCTTGATAGGTTTTATTTAATGGAAAAAGCCCCAAGAATTTTAGCCATTATCATATTCTTTCTACTATATCTATGCATGTGTCTGTGTTACTTGGCCTGCCTGCTGTATTCCCTGTTTTTAGATGTTCAGTCCTTTTCATAAAGCAACAGGATGGATCTTTTCTGAACCCTTGTGTAAATGTTCTATAAGGAGGAGATGAGTTTTTTGTATTCTTGGCTGGCCAAAAGCATTTTTTGCAGTTGAACTTTTGGGAATATCAGTAGAAATAGAAATAGTAGAAATCTTTGCTATTCATGCAAAAGTACTGCCATTTTCAATGTAATTTCTCAGTGTTGAGTAGTACAGAACTTGAAAAATTAGAAAAATAAACATTTTAACTTGGATCTGTAAAAATTGTGACCCAGTAGGTCAAATAACAGTAATAGTTTGATAGCTTTGTTGATCATTTTTGGTTGGGTGTAAGAATGCATTGTAGCAGAATTAAAGCTGTTATTGTAGTGTTAAGATAATAAGACTTAGCAAATGGAGAATGAAATTAACAAAAAATTTCAAGACTTGAAGTTTATGTAGATCTATTTTTCTCCTTGTAGCATTGTGATTTAGTTGGACAGTTACCAGGCAAAGGAATTTATGCTTTATCAGTAACTGTTGCTAGTTGAAGCAGGAGGGGTCAAGAGTATAATAAAGACCAGAAAAGATAAGAAAATAGAAAGGTGGATATCAAGAGAGGATAAAGTAGGGCTAAGAATGTGGCTTAGTGGTAGAGTGCTTGCTTAATATTCATGAAGCCCTGGGTTGGATTCCTCTGTACCACATAAACAGAAAAAGCCAGAAGTGGTGCTGTGGCTCAAGTGGTAGAGTACTGGCCTTGAGCAAAAGAAGCTCAGGGACAGTGCCCAGGCCCTGAGTTCAAGCCCCAGGATTGGCCCCCCTCCCAAAAAAAGAGGATAAAGTAATGTTTGGACTGTGGGTCCATGTCTCAAATGTCAATTGTTGCCTCTTTATTTTTATTATCCCTAGCATGTGGTCAGAATGTCATGGTAAATGTGATAGGTATATTTGGGGATATGTTTTATTTTACCTTACTTTGGTGAGGTGTGGGGGCCATCAAGATTTTAAAGAAGAAATACAGTCTCCTCTAAATTCCTTACAATTACAAAAGATGGGGTTCTATTTTTTGTCTATACCTGGGCCTAAACTCAGGGTCTCATACTTGTTTGGCTTGTTTGCTTATGCCTGCCGCTCTAATATTGGAGCCATGCCTTCAGTCCTATATTTTGCTGGTTAATTAGAGATAGAGTCTCACAGACCTTTATGCCTAGGTTGGCTTTGAACTGTGGTCCTCCAAGTCTCAGCTTCCTACAGATTCTAGGTAAGAGCCACTGGCAACTGGTAGAAGGGTCTGTTTTTTTTTTTTTGTCGGTTGTGGGCCTGAACTCAGGGCCTGGGCGCTGTCCCTCAGCTCTTCAGCTCAAGGTTAGCCCTCTACCACTTGAGCCACAAAGCCACTACCAGCTTTTTCTGCTTATGTGGTGCTGAGGAATCGAACCAAGGGCCTCAAGCATGCAAGGCAAGCACTCAACCACTGAGCTACCTTCCCAGCCCAGAAGGGTCTGTTTTTAAGAATCAGTTTCTCATTCTAAGTGCAAAAGGGGAATTTTTCGTAAGGTTACAGGAATCAAGAATTCTAGCATGTTTATGTGTCCATGACCTAGAAAGAGAATTAAATTGTCTTACTCTTATTTCTGCTTTCATCTCTGTTCCTGCTTTATTTTTTTTTTCTTTCTGAAATTTTCTATGGTACTTAAACTACCAGTAGTAGTAGTAGTTACCTTTTTGAGTGTTTACCATGTTAATTGTGTGAGGTGTCTTATATAATTTATTTAATTATTTTATCAAATATCTGAGGTTCTCACAGATAAAGACAACTGATAACTTTTTCCTTCCTAGTACTGGCTTTTGAATTTAGGGCCTTATGCCTGCTGGGCTTGTGCTCTACCACTTGAGCCACACCTCCAACCTGCTTTCTCCCCCTATTTTGTAAATGGAGTCTCACAGACTGTCTCCCTAGGCTGACCTTGAACCACAATTCTCTGAATCTTAGCCTTCTGGGTAGCTAGGATTATAGGCTTGGAGCCACTGGAGCCTGGCTGCTTTTTGTATTTTTAACTGTAAGTTAATATTCAGGACTTGGGCAGTTGTATTTCTTAGATTCCTATTCTTCTACCAGAGGTTGTGAAGATGTCTTTGTGAGTTGTTTTTGTTTTTGCATTTATTCTCTGTTAAGAATTGTATTAGACTGCTACTAGCAGGACCAGATTATGGTGGCTTCTATAAATTAGGAAGGAGGTATTCTTTCATATAAAAGGAATCTGGAAAGATATTTTAGAACATCCCCTCCCCTCCCTCCCCTCCCCTTCCTTCCCCACTTCCCTTTCCACTTCCTCTCCTTTCCCTTTCCCCTTCCCCTTCCCTTTTCCCTTTCCCCTTTCCCCTTCTCCTTTCCCCTTTCCCCTTCCCCTTCACCTTTCCCCTTTCCCTTCCCCTTCCCCTTTCTCCTTTCCCTTTCTCCTTTCCCTTCCCCTTCCCCTTCTTCTTCCCCTTCCCCTTCCCCTTCCCCTTCCTTTTCTCCTTCCCTTTCCCTTCCATGTGCTGGACCTGGGGCTTGAACTCAGGGCCTGGGCACTCCACCACTTGAGCCATAGTTCCAGGTCTGGTTTTTTTTCTGGTGTTCAATTGGAGGTAAGAGTCTCACAGATTTTCTTCCCTGGACTGGCTTTAAACCTGCATCCTCAAATCTTAGTCTCTGAGAAGTTAGGATTACAGGTGTGAGCCACTAGCACCTGTCTATTTTAGTAGAGCTTTTTATAACTTTGTGTAGTCATTAGAAATTAGGTGATTTCTATTTGCCTCCTATATTGTTCTCTTTTTTAAAAAATTATATATTTTTTATTGTAAAGAGAAGGTACAGAAGGGTTACAGGTACCTGAGGAAGGTAATGAGTACATTTCCTCTTCAGTGTTATTACCCCCTCCTTTGTTTTTCCCTAATCATCCCTTCCCTCCCTACCTTCCCAACTCCTCCCCCCCACCCCAAGTTGTAAAGTTTGTTTTAACATAGTGTCTTCTACATCTCATTGTTACAGTGGGTCAGCCTGTATCCAACCTATAATGTTCTTGACATACAGTTTTTATTTTCAGGGTTGTTCGATGGTCACAACATCACATTCAGAACTTCTATTAATCACGTTATTTTGATTGCATAAAAAGTTCTAGCTGATGGGCTGGGAAGGTGGCTCAGTGGTAGAGCGCTTGCCTTGCATGCCTGAGGCCCTGGGTTGGATTCCTCAGCACCACATAAGCAAAAAGCAAAAAAAAAAGCCGGAAATGGCGCTGTGACTCAAGTGGTAGAGCGCTAACCTTGAGCTGAAGAGCTGAGGGACAGCGCCCAGGCCCAGAGTTCAGGCCCCATGACTGGACCCCAAAAAAAAAAAAAAAAAAAAAAGTTCTAGCTGAGTGGTGGTTTTGCTTCTAGTCTTTGTATTTGGTAGACAGAGGCAATAGTTAAAGGCTAGCTAGTCTGGGCTACATAGCTCCATTCTTTCTCTTAAAAAAAGTGGGGGGAGGGGAGGACACGCTATACAGGTCTCCTGCTAATGGGTACCTGTTTGTTTGGCATTACTAGGGCTTGAACTCAGGAACTCATGTTCTTGCTTGCTTTTTCACTCAAAAGTCGGATGGGTATTTCTTCCTGGGCTGGCTTCAAAATGTGATTTCAGCCTGGCACCTATAATCTTAGCTACTTACGAGGCTGAGATCAGAGGATCTTGGTTTGAAGTTAGCTCAGGCAGGAAAGTCCATGAGACTTTAATTAGTATCAGAAAGGCCAGAAGTGGAGCTGTAGCACAAATGGTAGAGTACTAGCCTTGAGTAAAAAGCTCAAGAGACAGTGTCCAGGTCTTAAATTCAAGCCCCAGTACCAGCAGCTCCCCCCCCCCCCCCAAAAAAAAAGTGATTCTCAGATATCAAACTCCTAAGTAGTTAGAATTATAGGTATGAGCCATTAGTATCTGGCAGTACTTTTTCTGTATCAGGATTATTTCTAATACTTTTTTTTCTGGTACTAGGGCTTGAATTCAGAACCTTGTGTAAATTTGGAATCTTGTGTTCTTGCTCTGCTTTCTTTGCTTCTAGCTAGGGCTCTACCACTTGAAACATACTTGTACTTTAAGTTTCTTGCTGGTTCTTTGGAGATAAAAAGCCTCTTGGATTTGTCTGCCTAGTCTGACTCCAAACAGTGAATCTCCAGACTTCTGAAACTCATTCTCTTGACCAGCTAGGATTGTAGGTGTGAGCACTGGCACTTGACCTGATACTTTAAATACTGACGTACTTTTGCTGTGATAAATAATGC